CGCTCACAGGGGCAGAGTCTCAAAACCCAGTCACTTCCCAAAGTTTCCATTCCCAAACACCACTAACAGAAGTCTTTGGGAATTAGGTTTTCAACATGTGAATTCTTGGGGACAAGCATTAATAGCATAGCAAATAGGATGGGGAGGGAGACCTATCTTCCATCTCTCTCAATCAAGAGTGGTGGTGAAGCTGGATACTTAGCTCAGTGGTGCTGCAGCCTGCCTCTCAAGGGCAAGATCCTGAGTTTGATCCCTGGTACAAAAACAAACAAACCAACAGGAAGCCTTGGGTCAAAGACTTGAGAAACCAGGTAGAGCAAGGGCTCCTAAGGTATGTCAAAATCACTGAAGGTCATCTACCTGGTCCTGAGGCAGTTAGAAATGGCGGAGCTGAGTAAGCCACTCCCTTCCCTTCCGTCAGCTGTGGGCACAGCACTGCCCTGGTGATTATCCGTGATGCTTAATTTAAATTTAGGAGGTGCTGATGCCAGAGGCGATAGATCATTAGTTCCAGCACCAGTGAGACACCCAGAATCAGAGGCGCGTCTGACCACAGTGGGAGTTGAAGTGTCTGATGCTTTAAATACTGGAAGCCTGTCCGACGGTTCCTCTTCCTCCTTCTCGCAGGGCCCCCCACAGCCCGGCTCACACACCGTCAACACCACCACCAACTTCACTACCAGCAGCAGCTTCCCTTACAACTGAGAGTGCCTCTTCCTCTTCCTTTTTCTCTCTGCCCTTCTGTCTGTTCCCACTGCTGTCACCCCATGGTTTTCAGTAAATGTGTCTGCTTGCTGCTTACTGAGAGGTGTATGCTTGGCAATTCTTTCTTTCTTTTCTTTTTTTTTTGGTTTTTTGAGACAGGGTCTCACTATGTAGTTGAGACTGACCTGAAACTCACTATGTAGCTCAGATTGATCTCCAACTCACAGCGATCCTCCTGCCTCAGCCTCCCGAATGCTGGGATTACAGGCATGAGCCACCACAACAGGCTTTTTTTTTTTTTTTTTACGAAAGAAGCTGGACTATTTTGGCCCATTCAACTTTAACAGTCTCCCCACCCACTACTCCCGAGACTAACAGGAATCCGCTAGACCAAGAGTGCAGGATCTTGGCCTGCTTCCAACCTCATTCACAATGTGGTTTTGACTGCCCCTCATTGGACTTTGGACGCCATGCACTTCCTCGAAGGCGTTGTATGGTCAGAGATTCCCCTTCCCAATGGGGAGGCTCAATCAGGTACCCCATTGGGCCCTGACTCCTGCCAGTGGCCAGTTACAGACCCTTCTGTTATTCCAGGAGACCCAGTACCTGCCCCACAGGCCTTGGGCATGTCCCGCTGACCTAATTCCACCCTGTGGAGTCTATCTTTGCTTCGTTTGCTTTTTTCCCCCCCAGTGCCAGGGATTGAACTCAGGACCTTGTGCTTGACAGGGAGGCATAGCACTACTGAGCTACATCCCTGGTCCTTCATTCTCTCTCTCTGTCTCTCTCACTCTCTCTCTCTCTCTGTCTCTCTCTCTCTCTCTCTCTCTTTTGGTACCAGGGATCGAACACCGGTCCTTGCGCTTGGGAGGCAGGCAGCAGATCTTACTGTTGTTACTCCTTTTGAGTGCCCGCCTCTATTCTTTGCTGGGGACACCAGGAGACCCTGGAAACAACCCCCAGAGATTCTCCATCCAATACCGGAACAATGCTCCTGAAGCCAACCTGTTTCACCCTTTCGTCCTCGTTGGGTGTAGAGATATGGGAAAACTTTATTGGAAATGCCAAGACCAACAAGAAAGAACTGCATGTCTACGCTCTCCCACTTACAGCCTCAAGAGAAGGGTCAGGAGGGCCAGGGATTTAGCTCAGCGGCACCGTGCCTGCCTCGAAATTGCAAGTTCCTGAGTTTGATTCCCAGTAATTGGGGGGCAATAGGGAGGGGGAGGAGGAGAGAGGGAGGGAAAGGGGCGGGTCAGGCAGCCAGAAACAGCAAGGCTGCGCTTGCTTTGGCAGTGCATATACGGAAATAGCGAGGCTCTGGGGAGACTCCGCCCTAGACCAGCAAGGCCAGCCCTTCCTCTTCCATGGGCTTGCTTCCTGTGATTTGATTCCCAAACGGTCTTTAACTACTGTGTGGCCGGTGACCTCAAGGCAGCCATTCTATGGTTAGAAAATTATCCCTTGCACCGAGTGAGAAGCTGCCACTACATAATCCCTACTTTTTGTTTATATCTGACTGTGCTTTCTTCCGGGAAGCAGCACCTCCCTGGACGGACAGCCCTTTACCTCCATGGGTTCTTATATCTGTGGATTCAACCAACTGGGGATCAAATATATTTGGGGAAAAAATGTGTCTGTACTAAATGTGTAACGTGTTTTCTTATTATTCCATAAACAATATAGTAGTGTATAACAGCTATTGACACAGCATTCATATTGTCAATAATCTAGAAGACACTTAAAGTGTACAGGAAGAGGTGTTACATTATATGCAAATTTTTAATTTAGGAGTTGATATACTTTATAATGAAGAGATAGTGCAATGAATTTTTTTTTTTTTGAGACAGGGTCTCACTATGTAGTTGAGACTGACCTGGAGCCCTCTATGTAGCCCAGGCTGGTCTTGAACTCACAGGGATCCTCCTGCCTCAGCCTCCTGAGTGCTGGGATTACAGGCGTGCACCACCACGTCCAGCAGTGCCATGAAATTTTAATATAGCAATAAGAAAACAAGCATTTAACATTTATTGCACACTGACTATCAGTACCATGCCAAGTTCTTCATATTGCATTTCCCTAGTAAGTACACAGGCTGTACAAGTATTTCATCATGAAAATAACATTAAACAAAATCTTCCAATTTATGGAATAGAAAATCACTTTTTGGGGGGGTGGGATTGAACTCGGGTCCTTGCGCTTGCAAGGCAGGCCACCAAACTGCTGAGCTAAATCCTCGGCCCTAGAAAATCATATTTTGCTTACTTCCGTCCATGCTTTAATTTCATTTTACTTGAGAAATTATCAAATTATCTGCTGGGCGTGGTGGTGCACACATGTAATCCCAGAACTCGGGAGGCTGAGACAAGAGGCTTGCCACAAGTTCAAGGCCTGTCTGGACTGAACTACACAGCAAGACCCTGTCACACACAAAAAAAAAAATCTGCAGAAGGTTCACTCCACTAGTTTAACCTACCTCCTCTTTATTTTATTTATTTATTCATTTATTTGTTCTTTGGGTTTTTTTTTCTTGTTTGTTTTTTTGAGACTGACCTGGAACTCACTATGCACCCCAGGCTGGTCTCGAACTCACAGCGATCCTCCTGCCTCAGGCTCCCGAGTGCTGGGATTACAGGCATGCGCCACTACGCCCAGCATACCTCCTCTTTATAATATCAATATTTACAGCGTGGTTTTTAAAGGGTTTCTGAATTGATGAACGTAAATTTCTATGTAGGTACCTCAGGGAAGCCCAATTGCAATCTCAGCACCATTTCAGAAGGGTGATGATTTTCTAATTTGAGTGAGTCCAACTGATTCAAAATTTCCTTGTGCACCACTGCTCTGTCTTCTGCCTTTGGCATCGCTGCTTTGAGTTGCTTTTCCATGTCTGAGGAAGGACATTTGGCAGAAGCAATAGTGCTACCTCGCCGATGTAACTCCCGAGTCAGCTGGGAGGTTTCCGTCGTCATACCTTCTAGGGCAGAGCTGTAAGTCTGTTCAGCTTGTAAAATCTGTTCTTGCAACATCTTAGTTTCTGCCCTGTACATTGTTATGTCCTTCCATCGTCTTCAATTCTTCATATTTTTCCATTAGCTACTGGCTCAGTTGTTTACACGTTGCACTCACAGATCCCAAATGGCCTCACCTACTCAGCGTCAACCTCAACTGCCTCAGAGCCACCTCTGCTTGCAAGAGTTCTCCACTCATGTGGGTAACATCCACCTGGAGAGCACACTGCCTAAGTGCCCTTGCCCTTAAGAGGCGATCCTCTTTTCAGCCTGAGAGTCCTCCTGAGAGTGGTACCTTATGCAGTCTACTAGGTGTTGGATGTTGGTTCCTTTTGCTTGTAACTTCTTTTGCATTTTTGCCTCATGCATGAAATTTTCACGATACTGAAGATTTGCCTTCAATGCTCTTTTCTTCCTGCAGAGTCCCCAACAGTTTTTCAGATCCCTTCAGTTTTTCCTCTTTTTGCTGTTGCTCCTGCAGAATAGTCATATTAGTTCCAATCAAGCACTGACCCTCATGTTAAGATGCTCTATTTCCAACGCATTGGCACAGATGGTGTCCTTGGCCAGCTTAAGCTTACTGCTCAGGTTCTGGATTTCTGACTGACTGGATAGCCCCATGTAATTTCTGTACATTACATGTAAATTTATGCCATGATAGGGTAGGAACATCTATATATTTTTGGTGCTTTTTATTTTTAATGGGGGGGGTGTCAAACTCAAGACCCTGCGCTTGTGAGGCCGGTGGCAGAACCACTGAGCTAAATCCCTGGCCCTTTTGTTTTTTGTTTTTTTGAGACAGGGTCTCACTATGTAGTTGAGACTGCCCTGGAACTCACTATGTAGCCCAGGCTGGTCTTGAACTCACAGGGATCCTCCTGCCTCAGCCTCCCAAGTGCTGGGATTACAGGCATGCATTACCACGACCGGCAACACCATTGTTTGTATTCCAATTTATTTTGATGATTCTGTGGACTTATAACAATTGATTCTGGTTTCCAATTAGCTAGGCATGGTGGTGCAAACCCGTAATCTCAGCACTCAGTAGGCTCAGAAAGGAGGATCGCCATAAATTGGAGGCCAGTGTGGACTACATAGTGAAATCCTGTCTCAAAAAACGAAAGCCAAAACCAAAACCATGTTGATATACAGTTCCTTTTTATTTTGTTTTTGTTTTTTGGTACGGGGGATAGAACTCTGGTCCTTGTGCTTACAAGGCAGGCAGCAGAACCACTGAGCTACCTCCCCAGCCCCACAGTTCCTCTTTAAATAATTACACGAATAATGCGTGTTCACTGTAGCAACATCAGAAAGCCGAAGAAGAAAAATCCTAGGTCAAACTTAGCTTCCTGACAGATATTTGCAGTCCGTTTAGCTCTTCCCTTCTCGCCACTCCTATTAGAAATCCTCTCCATACTTCCCTGTAGTCTCTGTCACAACTGGCAAACACACTTCTGTGCATATTTTTCACTTATCAGTAAATACTTCATGCGTGAGGCAGGAGGGATGAGGGAAGGGTGGTGGGTGGCCAAAGCCTTCACCCTGGAGAGGCTCCAAGTCAGGGGTGACTTGATACTTCTCTGCCTCACCAAGCCCTGCCTCCAGGAAGTGCTGTGGTTCCTCTGGTGTCTCGGAATTTAGCGCAATACTTAGCCAGGCGGAGTCGGTATTTAAAGGAGTCAGGAAACTAAAGCCTGCCCTCCACTCTCTCACCCCAACCATAGGAGGAAGGAAGTGCCAGTCAGTGGGTGACACGCTTTGGGCACACAGTATGTCTGTGTCCCGGGGTCCGCCCCGCTGCAGTGAGGTCTGCAGGGTCTCTCCATCCCTGTCTGTGATCTGAGGGGCTGTGGGATGAGGATGTGATTAGAGCAAAGAGCTGGGCATGGGAGAGGAGAGGATGCGGATTCCCCGAGGCTCCGGTAGAAATGGTTGAGAGAGAAAGCATTCTAGCTGCCTAGAGCGTTGCCTCTCTGCCTTAAATTGTTGGAGAGGCTGTATCTTAGTGTGACAACCACTGCCAGCAGACATCCTGCCTCCACAAAACTCACGGGATGGGCGCTGTGGGTGCGGCTGGGGATAGAGAGCCTGCCTTCCTTGTGCTAGGGCCTGGGTTCGATCCCCACCACCAGGCACACGTGTGTGCCCCTGCCGCTTTTCGAGGGTACTGGAGAGTGAACGCAGTGACTTCTCATTAAGTTACATCCTTCGCCATTTTATTTTTTTGTTGTTGTTGTTCTGGTACCGGGAATCAAACTCGGAACCTTGTGCTTGAGAGGCAGGCAGCGGAACCACTGAGCTAAATCCCCGGCCCTTCCTCGGCCACTTAAAAGTTTTTGAGACACGGTCTCACTAAGTGGCTGAATTGCTTACGCGGGGTTCACGCTTGTGATCCTCCTGCCTCGGCTTCCCCGAGGGCTGGGATTACAGGACCACGCCACGTCGGCCGGCCGCCATACGTAACTGTCTCGCCCATTTTACCGAGAAGACCACGGAGGCTCCGAATGGGAAAAGGTTTGCTTAGTGCAACGGAGCAAGTCAGCGGCGGAGGGG